TATTAAGTTTAGTCTAACCCGGAAACAAAGGAACTTTTAACTAATCATATACAAATAACTCGTTTCACTTGAAAAGATCCTACAAATTTTTGGGGTGTGGTAAAAGTTCCCTTAATTTACGTTATGGATAAAAAAATATGACGAACCGTAATCCACTTCAGACATAATGTCGCTTCATATTCCAATGTTTATGGGCTGTGGCGATTTTAGGAGTTTTTGTCTTATTTGTTAACAGGAGTGGCTAATTCCATTCAAAGTCTTGTTTGACCCGTGTATTATTCCCTGATCGAGATTACCTTCTCAAATGAAGCTGATTTTTTTTTTCTTCAAGAATATAGCCAAACAGATTGAAGGACTATTAGCGTAAGGCCCTCGATATCGCACTGAATTACCTAATTGAAGAAAACCTAACTTCCAGTGGGAGTTTGAAACTTTCAGGTGAAATAAAAGATCACAAACCTGAATCTTAAAAATTCCTTCTTCTTCGATATCGTCGTATTCTTGGTCTTGAGATCTTCCGTTCTTTGGATGTTGCTGTAACTCATTGTTCAGCTTCTTGTCCTCTCTGCTTGTCGTCCAATAATTTTTGACCATCGCGCGGGGACTGAATCTCCCTTTACTCAAACTTTGTTGTTTCTGTTCACGGTCCATGGCCACAGACCGAGGCCGATTGCTAATCTCTCCCAGAATTTGCCTGTTCTTCCGCGAAATACTTGGTCCTCTTTTCTGATCGATCGGCTCACTAAGAGTGTGATAGATCTCGCTTGGAAAGGGGCTCCTTGTCTTTGCGTAGACGTTCTCATCATTTTGAGACGTTTTGCCCTTCAGAAAGTTGTAGGCTTTTGACAACAAAGACGTAGAACTTGGCGCCCTCATCTTATAAAGTAGTAAACGTTTTCCTGGTTCACCAAACTTCAAGAGCAAACTCAAGCTTCATCTGTAATTAATAGCAGCGATGGATGCGAAACATAGGTTCTCTGCTGCGGTGTGGAAAGTTTTTATGAAGCTGTCGAAGATATCTTCGGTATGAGAGCTCTTTGAAGTTCACTATCGAACCATACATCTGCCGAGACAAACCTCGTGTCTTTGTTTTTGTGACCCTGACAGAATACGAATAATTAACGAGCTTTATGAATGAAAATGCAAATAAGCGCGCGAAAAACACCGGTCACGGCAATAAACCTGCCGATCTGGGAACCTCACTTAAAATTCAGTGCCCAAAGCGATTTCAAAAACTACAAACATTGTGCCGTACTTTTAACAGGCGTCGAAATTGCGAGCATACGCGTACAATTCTGCTAATTGAATCTGTTTAGCGAATTAGGATGTTGTGCATTTACTTAAAAAGAGTATAAACAGTAATTTTCGCTTTTCTTTTCAACTTCAAATTCACTGCCGACACGTGTTGTTCTTGCGAACAACAGCGAGCCACACTTTAATAATATAGCACGTGCAATATAGGAAAGGAAAGGTTTTGTGTTTAACATTTGGTTATTGTACACAACGTGCTTTTTGTTTCTCGTGCTCTTTTACCTAAAATGTACAATTGAAGGAAATTCTATTTGAAGCCTCGGTAACACTGGCAAATCGTTCATTTCTCTACTACAGTAAGGAAAATCCGGCATTTCTTTTATCAAAAAAAATACCGAACATAATACCTTTCCAACTCTGGCGATTGGCAAGGCCGGTTTTATGATGGAAAGAAAATTTTCAATTCTCTGCAGCTGCAGTTTGTTAAGCTAGCCAGCAGGTCACTTCTGCCTCGCCCCCCCCACCCCCCCCCCCCCCCCCCCCCCCCCCCCCCCCCCCCCCCCCCCCCCCCCCCCCGCCCCACCACCCCCCCCCCCCGCCACCAGTACCCACCAGGGCATAATGTTTTCTTTTTTTTTCCCCGCGCGCGGGGGGGGCGGCGAGCCCGCGCTACCCGCCGGAGGCCAGGCACGGCAGGCGTCGCGCGCGGCGTGGTGTGTGCCGGGGGTGGTTTTTGTTTTTTGGTGGTATTTATTAGTATCTAAACTCTTATTTTTCTACTAATGAAAAGAAAATCCGGCAATCCTTTTATTAAAAAAAAAACCGAACAAAATACCCTTCCCACTCTGGCGGTTGGCAAGGCCGGTTTTTTGATGGAAAGAAAAATTTTAATTCCCCGCCGCCCCCGGTTGTTTAGCCAGCCCCCCGGGTCCTTCTGCCTCCCCCCCCCCCCCCCCCCCCCCCCCTTCCACTCCTCCTGCAATCTGCACTACTTTACCAAGTGGGGAACAGTATCCCGGCCACTGGCGGCATATGAGAACCAGGTTATATTGTTCTGCTTTGCTGCCGCCGCGCAGAGGAGTTCGCATAGCACAGGCATACCGGCGGAAACTGGCCTACGATGTTTGTTGCCGGCGGTGTATGTATACCCGGTATGTTTTTATATGTTGGTACAGTATACCATGCAGTACAGGCGACCATATAGTGAGTAGAACAGGTGTTATATTTTGGTTTACCGGGCAAACGAATTGCGAATCGGGCGTGGAGCGCGAGATACCTTCCCCCGTCGGGCATGCATGTCTGGCTCTTCTCGCTCGCTTTGCCCTTTCCCGTTCGCTTGCCTGAAAAACGCGAAAAAATAACGCCTGTACTGTGGGATAGATTTATTAATTTATTTTATTTATTTACCAGCTTTTCTGGACACAGGCCTGCCCAGAGGGAATGTACACGAAGGAGACTCATTGGTCCCATGCAAAGTGCTATCCCTACCCAATCCCACAACCCGTAAAGGTTGATCACACCACCGGGTAGGCTTTTGTACATTATGCTTTTGCTTCCCTACTAAAATACTCCACCTTAATGCTCCATTTTTCCCACTTAAATGCTCGGTCTCCCCAAAAAAGTCACTAAAATGCTCGGATAATGCTCATTACACAAACGGTTTTTTAAAATTAATTTCAAAGTTTACACTTACAAAAACGTGCAAGTGTTGCAAGTAACAACGACAACGTGTACAAGTTCATAAATGCAGCCAAAAAACCCAGCTGTATTAGGTTTTTTGTGAATTTTGAATTTTAGTCTTCATTTTGTTTAAAAAAGCAGGAGCTCATGGGGCATGGGCTCCTGAAAAAAGTTAATATCTATTTTATTTTCTCGGAAAAATCAATTTTCCGGGGGAAAATGCCACTAAAATGCTCAATGCTTTCGCCTCACTAAAATGCTCGAAAAAATGCTAGCATAATGTACAAAAGCTGACAAAAGCCTACCGCCGGGGTCTACGACCCCAACCTCGTTCCCAGGGTTCTCTCCTACCCGCCAGGAGAGAACCCTGGGAACGACGTTGCTACGGCCCTACTCTTTTCGAATAGTGATGTGCGTTATTTTACGTCCCACAAGAACAAATCAGTGAAAGTGCTGTGAGACGGGACCTACGGTTTTTCGTCCTCATCCTAGCAGACCGGCGCTCTCCCAACTGAGCTAACAAGGCGGCGGCACCATATGAAAACCACGCTTCACTGATTCGTTGGAAATATAAAATGATCTTCCTAGCTAGAGGAAAAAAGCAACAGAATGAAACAAATTTTGGTCGAGAAATGATCTTGGACATTTTCTCACTGATTCCTGTTTGGCAAGGCCCTTTACAGCCTCGTACCCAGGCCAGTTCGCGCTATCCGAATTACCAGAGGAGGTTGGAGCCCAGTACGAATTTTCCTGACAAGCTTGACAGGTGACGTCACTTCTAAAATCGCCGAGGACGACTGGGAACGAGGCTGGGCCCTTCACTCATTCGCATAGCGCGAATCAGCCTTGAGAAGAGCGACTAGCAGGGTCTGGTCTGCAATTGGGTCATCAGGGTTGGGTGTGATGGGGCCGGGATGCTTACCAACTACATCCAAGGGTGCTTACCATTTGACAGAAAAAGGTGTCGAAAGCATTATGGTAAGCGATTTGCCAGTTTACCGCAGAAGTGCCACTTCCGTTACGGTTTGAATCCAAAAATGGGCGAATTTGTGTCGCGTGAGTCTGGAACCAAGAAGGAACCGAGAAATTGCTTAATGGTAAGCACCATTCCGTTTGGTTCGTACCAACCGCAATGAAAGGACTACCCCAAAACGTACTCCTCAATTTTCGGTTGGAATTTCCGAAAAGTGACCTTACCATTTACCTTTCATCCGGAGTTTCCGAAATTTTCCGTCAAATGGTAACACCCCAACTAACACAAAATTTCACACAGGGTTCATACAAAAAAATTCAAACCATTTTTAAAGGACTTTTCAAGGACCACATTCGATTTTCAAGGTCCACCTACCAGGAATGTTATTTTGCACATTGTAAAAAAAATGCACATTCTCAGTCTATTCCGTCACAGGACTATAAGGCTCCAACTGTTTCCTCCACCAAGTTCTCTACATTTTTCAGTTCAATTGTCTTAAATCAATAGTTAATTCTTGCATAAAACAAAAAAAAAACGCCTTCAGTAAATCACTTTGAACGTCTGTGAGCTATGATTTATATTCTGTCTTGGAAAACCAAAAAGCATTAAAAAATACTTTCCAGGCCACTAAATTCAAAGTTGAAGAAAATTCAAGGACGTGCAGAGAAATTTAGGGACTTTTAACGGAAAAGTGCAATTCAAGTACTTATCAAGGACTCTCCCTAAAATTCGAGGACTTTTCAAGACTGTGGGAACCCTGTTCACAGAAAAATCGCGAAATCCGTCTATGGTCATTAAATCTCATTAAGTCACACATCTGACTCGATTGGGCCTCATGAAGCTTAACGCACAACCCCTTCTTGAAAGTTTTCTACTAGTTCCTGCCGAGATTTGGAATTCCCTCACCCTTGAATAAAGTTTTGTTCTTCTGATAGTGACAACCCTTTTGTTTTTCCGGTTTATGAAAGAGCCAAGTTAGCCGCGGAAAAGCGTTTTGTTTAGACAGAGAAGCAGATTGAGAATTGGCAATTGACTTTTGACAGATGTGGTGGCTCCTAATAGAGCCGTTGTTTTTAGAACTGTCCGGAAGATCGCTTCACTTCTTATAACTGGTGTACTTGGTCACAGCCTTGGTTCCTTCACTGATAGCGTGTTTGGCCAACTCACCCGGTAAAAGCAGCCGGACAGCGGTCTGAATTTCACGCGAGCTCATGGTCCTTTTCTTTCCGTACTTGGTCAGGCGAGAGGCTTCGGAGACAATTCGCTCGAAGAGGTCGTTCACAAACGAATTCATGATGCTCATGCCTTTTTTACTAATGCCAGTGTCTGGGTGAACTTGCTTCAGAACTTTGTGAATGAAATAAGCGTAAGTTTCATGGGTTTTCTTCACGGTGCGTTTCTTGACAGGACCAACTGGCTTTGTCTTGCTGACTTTCTCCGCGCTTTTCTTTCGTCGAACACTTCGCGCCATGACTATTAAAATCTTCTGCAATTACCGTTCTAATTCAGTTCAAGAAACCTCTGCCACGAAAGCCACCTGCAAAAGTGCACAAGAAGTTTCGTTCTTCTGTATTTATGGATTTTATGGCAGAGTCTCAAATTTCGTACGGATCGAAATTCTTACGCTCTGATTGGTCAAGTTGCAAACCGATCTACCCCTGAAATCTACCATGTCGCAGTCAAAGGTCACCTTAAAGGTTTCTATTGGTGGTTTTCGATCCTTTCACGTGAGGCCATGAGCTACAGGGTGTACGAACAAGAAATATGGATTTTTTTCTGAAATAAAGTTGAACAGTAGCATTTTGTCTCTTCTGAACATTCTTATCTTTCCTGAAAACGCGTCGCTGATTCAAACCTGCTCTAACATGCAATATATATCGTCAGCTACTGTTTTATAGTGTTAATAAAACTATTTTCCGTGACCGAAAAACGCTAATGTATCGGTCAAATCGAAGCTTCAACATGCCCCCCCCCGGGCATACCCCGGGCATTTGACACCTTTGCCGTCCCGGGGAGGAGGGAATTTGATTATTAGAGTCTTCCAAGGGGTGGGGAATTTGATCCCCATGCTTTAGGGGTGGGGAATTTGAACTGCACCCTCGATTTCACGTAAAATCTTTGGCGTGGCGAGCTATCATGGGGGACGCGGTGTTAGAGGATTTTCGTGGAAAAGATTGTGCCTTTGTGGCCAATTGGTTACGAGGAAAGGGCTTAAACAAGCTTTGTGGCGTATTTGAAGTATTTAAATTTTAAAATTTTTAATATGGGATTCAGGCTTTGAATGTATTTTATTGTTGTGTTTACAATGAAATACCGAATACCTATTAAACAGCTCAGGTCAACTACTTTGACCTACTGCAAGTATGTTAATGAATAAGGCGAGCGATGATGCATGTCAGTGAAATGGTCATGATGTAGTAATCCCAATAGGTGCATGACGAAGAAAATCTGAGCATTCAGTGACCTTGTAGCAGCGATTTCCGCCGCTTTGCACGAGAATTTTGATCGTAGTAAATACGCTAACAGTGTTTCTCAGTTTTTGTTATATTTATAAAAATTTTGTTCGACAACTGAAGGCGTTTCCGCCGTCCTTATATCATTTTTGTGCCTGTGAAATGTCCCCAGGGTGGGGGCATTTGATCACCTGAATGGACCCCAGTGTGGGGCATTTGAACGGCATTTTGGCCCAGGTAGGGGGGGATTTGAACAATAATTTTCAAAAAAGTCAAATGCCCGTGGGGTTGCCCGGGGGGGCATGTTGAAACTTCGATTTGACCGATACATAAAGCCACTCCAAAGACACAGTGATAAAGCAAAACCTGAGTATCAGGCCTTTTTGACGGGCTAAGGGAGAGATTCAGGCTAGCCAGCGAAACAAGTGAGAAGAGATGGATCTTATCCGGGGGGGTACTCCCCTACAAAAGCCACATAATTATGTGCCCCCTATCGGGTAGTGTTTTTGGTCCTTTTTGGTCTGAAAAGGGATATTCACTTTCCTAATTTTGGTCTGGAATTGGGTATGGTTTTCAACGGGACCATGGGAGTGTATGAACGTATTTATCGTTTCAATTTCAAATGAGTAAGAAAGAAAGAGAAAGATGCGAATTCGATTTTTTTTGTTTGCGTTCTAATCTAGGTAATGATAACATAATTTCTGCCTAAAAGCCAGGTCTGAAAAAGGGTACCGTAAAATTCCAAAAATAAGCCCCGGGGCTTATATTTTTCAAAGAGGGGCTTATTTTTGTAGGGGCTTATATTAAACCTCATCCCCAGGGAGGAAAAAAGCCCTGGGGAAGAGGTTGGCTTATATTCGGAGTTGATATTCGAAGGGGATTATTTGTGTTTCAAAATCGATTGGGCTAGCCTTATAGTTGGAAGTATATTTACCGTTTTGGCTTCGTTTCACTTTGTATTTGAGGGCAATTTTCCAATTACAAGCCCCCGGGGGGCTTATATTTGGAGGGGCGATTTAACGGAGGGTTTTTTGCGTTACCGGTTTGGAAGGCTTATATTTGGAGGGGCTTATTTTCGGAATTTTACGGGATGGAATTTAGAGGTCTGGTCTGAAAACGGGCGTGGAAAATTAGATTTTTTGGTCTGAAATAGGGTCAGGATTTGGAGAACCGGGCGGCACACCCCCACCGAGAATTCTCAGGAGTACCCCCCCCAGGGGGTCTTATGTAGACCTGGATCTTTTTTCTTAGCAGCAAAACGGTAAACTTATTCTGACGGCAAGAAGATTGAGACAATAAAGGAGAGGGAAAGAAAGAATGAAGAAAAATCGACTATAAATTATTTTCCCTACTTTGTACTCCCTAGTCGGGACCCAGTTTTCCTGTCTGGGTACGCGGTCACTTGACCACATGACGCATGATTTACCCAGAGTTCACCTAGAAACGTTTGCATTCTGCTCTGCTTGCTTGGTGCTACGGTTATTTATCGGTGCATCGTTGGAGGTGTCGCTGCTACTTTTTACCATTTTAGTGGTATTGACGAGGAATTCTGCTCTTGGTTGTCTAAAAGTCGTTAGATTTGATAGCCTTGTGGCTGCTGGCAGCGAGTTTTTTTTCAGTATGAGCACTCAAGAGGGAAGAAAAGACCAAATACTGAAGGGATTCAAATTGTATCCTTTTTATGACTGAGAGATTATGTATGCAAGTTTAGATGTAAGTTTTTAGATTGGCTATAAGCTTATCACATCCTCTTCAACCTTAATGTAAATTTGTTGTTAATATGATATAAATTTACTTGATCAAGTTGACTTCAGCCGCGTCGGAGGATTAATGCGGTCGGTTGGTGATAATTTGAGCGTTTGGGAAGTAAAGTTCGAACTTGCATATGTTTTGAACTGGCACCCAAGAACTTTCTGCAAGCGTACCGAGGTTGTTTATGTGCCAGTAATTTACTGTCTCTTATTCTATTCCAGTATTGTAACAAGAGTTGTAAGAATATTACTATTTTTACTGTATATATGTAACTTTTTTGCAATTACATTAAGCTTTAATCCAACTAAGAACTAAAACAATTTCATCTTACTCTGTCGAGTGCTTAGCTATTTTCCATGTTGTTGCGTTTGTAAGTTATATGCAACGGTGAAAATTCAGCGATCGATTAGATTACTAAGACAGACTTATCACGGCCGAACAGGATTTTTTGTGTGTCTTTTTATATTGAAATCAAGTAAGTGAGATTAATTGATTTTGTACAGTTCGGACGCAATACCAGGTGAATCTAGTTATTTATTTACTTTCAGTAGTTGTTTAGACAAGACTTAATAAAATTTTAACTTTTTTCAGCCTCATTAGAAATGAATTATCCCTGAATGAAAAGAAGTAAGAAAAATTGATTATGGCAATTTTTTAATCTTGGTTGGACCAAGTAGATAAGACTTGATTATTGCTTGTGTTTCTTGAGTGATAGAATCCACCCGGTCCGATATCTTATGCAAACTAAGTTTTGTCAAGCTGTCTGAGTTTCAAAGCTCTAGTCAGGAATCTCCTTAATAAAGGCTTACAAGCATGTATTCATGTATTTGTTATGTAAAAAAGTAAGGTATCATGGTGCAAAGAAAGTCAGTTTTACAGCTTGCCATTTGGGCAAGTTGTTGCTAGTGTGCACTAGCCCAAGAGTCATTTTAACTAGGCCAAAAAATTTTGTGATAAGTAGCATTGATTACAGTTCTTCTGTAATTTCAATTTCTCAAAAAACTTCACTCGCCCTTTTGGCAAGAACAGAATTTACCAGCCTGATTGCAAAATCCATTAGCCCCAGGCTAACAGACACGACTTTCTTTGCACACTGGGTATCAAATTCCATCTCGTGATTAATGGCAGCAAGTTATCAATGTTATGGGGGCGTGATATGGGTTTATACTTCCTTATTCTTGTGTTGTTTTTTTTGGATAACTGGGTAAGTGATCACTGATTGGCTCAGAGAACAATACTGTGTTCTCTTGCCTCAAGGGAATAATAACTATTATTAGTTTGAAATGATTCCAATAATAAGTCTGTAGTGCCATTGGTTTGTAAACTGATGCAGAATGACAGCTACATAACTGGTTTTTTTTTAAGTTTTGGAGATAAAACAGCTTTCATTTACAGTAAGATTAAGCATTCAATGGTTTAATCCTTTACAATAATGCAGAAACTGGATGAATCTTCGTGATGCGGATAATGGAAAAGTACTGTGGCAAGGAAGTGATGACTTGTAAGATTGCTTACTGTAAAACTAACAATTTCATGAACACTGGAATTATAGGCAAATTATGATGGTGTCATGACCAGTCACATTAGAGATCTAAGACACATCAAAATTTGAACAACTTATAATGCTTGCAATTTAGTTATCTCACACCTGATATGCTTTTTCACTGTTACAAACACATTTCATTTTTATGGTAGTTTCTCGGTGGTGCAAACGGGTGCAATCACTAAATGACATGATATGAAAGATTGAAAAGACAGTGGAAAATACCAGCAAACACGAAAGCGAACCAACATACTTTTTGCAACACTAAAAAATACCCAGTTTTATCTTCAGTTATTTTTGTTATCTCTGCATCCTGCATCCCTGACGTATAAAAATCCTTAAAGATGCAAAATAATTCATGGCATGCGTCCTGTAGGACGTAAAGATCGATTGATCGGTCTGAACATGTGTATTTGTAGAAATATCAGGCCCGTTTGTGTAATTTCTGAGGCAGTTATTATGGCTGTTGTTTAATGATGCATGTTTTGTTTAGTCTTTGTTTTGCTTTTAAATAGAAGGACTATATTATAATTTCAGTATACTGTAATACAAAGTTTTCAGATTAACTGTCTGGTTACATAAAGGCCCAAGCATTTTCAATTTCGGGCTCTTTTTTTTTTAACTGGGACTTCTTGGTTCTGGACTGGGACTCATGATTTTTAACAAGATGAGTCCCAGGACTCACCATAACTATTTGTAACAAAATCACTGTATCTTCGATGTTCATGGTTTGCCTAGTATGGTAGTAACTGACCGAATAGACCCTTTCACATTGTTTTTTTCAACTTTGAATAAAGAGCAGTAAGCAAATGTTCATCTGGTCCCAGTTGTTAAAAAGGTAGATCATGCTATCCACGAGATAAATCTCTATCCACTGGATAGTGTTTTATCCAGTGGATAGTGCTATCCAACGTTTTAGCAACCCAGGCCAGCTCTATTGTATTGGGTAACTTACCAAGTTTAAAGCTGATACTTCCAAAGAGAGAAAGATTCTGATCCACAAAGTTGTAAAATTTTACAGACATTTGTATCGTGGGGGCACGACCTTGTCCCCCATCGAGCAAACATCTGTAAAATTCTGCGACTTTGAAGAGCTATATCTTGGTTAGTTTTCAACAACTCACTTTAAAACTTGGCAGTCTTTCCAGCCATGTTGACAGATTTTCACTTAGTAACTGGTCCCAATCAAAAGTCAAAAAAACCATAAAAGGGTATATTAAATGGGTTAAATAAAGCATTATGCTTCACTGAGCATCAAATTCTACTTCCTCATTTTTTTGAGCTGTGATGCCACCGGCCCTTGTTCCCCATTCTTTATGTTGTCATTTGTACTTTACCTATTTACTCCCAGAAAGGGCCAAAGTCAAAATTTCAGCAAAATTCCCAAATTTTATTTTCTAAAATGCTGGAAATGAATTAGGGCCATGTGAAAGCACTGCCAAAGAGGTTTCATTTGAATGGTCACATAACAGGATAACATCCACAGACTCAAAAGTTCAAACGGCCTTGCAAGTCTCCACTGTTCACTCTGAAACTAAAGGGTTTAATCTCTCAACTATCTTGTTTATTTGTAGGTCTGTCCCTGGGCAAGAACATGAAGGTATAATATTTTAGCATTAGGCACTGTGAGACAGAGGTGTTCTTTTGTTTGTCATGAACAACAAACCTCTAAATGTTACTAAGATGACTTCAATATTGTAACCTTTGTTTTGAGGGTCGCTTTGTTTCCTCTGGTTTTAAGTGTGTGGTTGATCTAGTTTTTGCCAATCTCTAGGCTGCCATGGCTCACCTTCGTAGTTCCTTTCTTTGATGTTCTAACTGATGCCTTTTGCTGTGCTTATGAAAGGGCCATGTTTAAAGTGAGAGTTTGTGTTTACCATGGCGGGATTAGCTCAGTCGGTAGAGCGTTTGATTGCAGAGCAGGAGGTCGCGGGTTCAATTCCCGGGGCCGGACCATTACTCAGGGTCTTAAAATGACTGAGAAATGAAGGTACTTCCTTTGCACTGCAAGCGGCGAGACCTTCGCGTGGCTCAGATGACCACATAAAATGGCGGTCCCGTCTCCATTAGGAGACGTAAAAATAGTGTCCCCAATTAGCACTTTCGTGCTAAATACATTGACACTCAAATAAAGTGCATTTTTTTTTGTTGTTGTTGTTTTCTTTTATATTCATGCCTGTGGGGTTCCTCATTTAAGCAGTTGCTGTTACTAATTCATTTACAGCAAGAGTACCTAAAAAGATTCTCAAGTGTAAGGCTGTGTCAAGAGAGCTCAACTTCTCCTCCGAACAAGAAATGACAAAATTCAGATTGGAACAAAAAGTGATGTTCAAAGGAAAGTGTTTAGAAGGTAAGAGATAGTGTGTGAAAAACATGTCTAAATGCAATTGCCTGTACTCTAATTATTTCTTTCTTTCTCTCTTTGGTGTAAGGATTTTGCTGTTTTATTGTTATTCAGCCCCTTGTGGTTAGTTTGTGAACCTATTGGTGCCTGTACTTAATATTACCGTTTTTATTAAAACAACGGCGCTGAGAAAATGCTTTATAGTTTTGTGATGCTAAAGGTAGGCACCTTGTCATTTTCAGTGAGGACAATTTTTTTAAAGAATAACAGGAACCACTTTCTACATAACTTGCCCACTGTGTGGAAACTGCTCAATGAAATGAATCTGCTACCGCTTGTGATGTCATCGGTTTTAGTGGTCAAGGACAACTTTGCCAACTAACTTGTGAAGAGTGAAGACATCTTTCAAACCATACCAGAATGAGCACAATTCAGTCAAGGACACCAGAGAAAAAGGCAAAAAACCATGTAACATTGACCTGCAAATTTCCATAAAAATGTTGTTCCACCACCTACCTACCTTTCCTTTCATCTAATCCTAAGATCCTAAAAGCTTTCCTAAAAACTTTTCGCACCAAAATGAAGCCTGCTAAATGCGCAGCAAGAGAAAAAAAATGGGGCAAGGAAAGCGAAAAAAGAGGGGAGGAGAGAAAGCAAAATTAAAAGTCAAGACTGCTTTGTCACTTTTAAACCCAAAAAACTCAATCTCGAATTTTTGTTTTCTGTGCATGCCCAAACTTCGCAAGCTAATATGTTGTATATGGATCAGAAGGCTGGGAAGTGTACGACTTGTAAACACCTTTGTAATAAGTTTTAGCACTTTATAGCACAACAATGACAAGAAAACAGCTCGACTAGCTTCAAAACGCATTTTTCAGCAAAGTCTCCAGGGGCGAATGGGTTAATTCACTCCTAGGCTTGACGGCCAATTGAATCGATGTACAGCGCTGAGCTGAAAGTGATTTGGTCGATCAGTGACATCAATTGGCTGGAAAAGAACCAATTCCTTGTGGGTTTGCCTTGGTGAAATGTGAATTCAAAGTTACACATTTCAGGGAAAAGCAAGGTTGGATGGTAAAAAGCCAAACTGAAACACACTTGCAAAAAGCAAAAATATCCGAAGACCAAAGACATAATATTATCATAAGCTGAAGGCTGTTGTAAAATCATCTGTGAAGTGAGACGCCGGCACTGGCAAATGTTCTTTTATGTCGATTTTTGGTGTTCTTGTAGCTACTGGTCCAAATTGCTTCATTGTTCTCTGGAAAATACTTGTACGGTGGAAATTAATCTACAAAAGCATTTCGTGATCGCCAAAGGGCTGCAAAAAAAATTTTGTAACCTTGAAAGTGGGTGCATTTTAATGTACTCAAGTCTCTTTTCATGAGTTGCTTTAGAGAGAACTCTCTTGCCCAGCACAGAGCGTTGAACGAACAATCAGAGGTCCTGTGACAAGGTATTGGCCTTACCTCGTCTCTCGCCTTTTTGTTATTTTTATATGGGGATGGAAAACGAACTCATTACCCAACCCCCAGGCGTCGCAGTTCATCTGGGCTTTCACCCAAAACCGTCCCAACATGGCTGAACCCACCAAGGTCCCAACTGGATATAGCTTCCAGGGTCATCAAGGCACACAAACCTCCCCACCATGTTAACCCTTTAATCCCTAAGAGTGATCAGCATCAAATTTCTCCTTGTAATATGAATGCTTTGTAGAACAGAGTGGTTATGAGAATGAATTTTCCTGATAAAAATTATTTTATCAACTTCTCCCCACTACTTCATTAGGAAATGAATAGGAGCAACAAATGAGAATTCAGATTTTGATCATAGGGTTTAAAGGGTTAAGGTGCAACAGTTAGGGAGGGACTGTAGTTACTGGACAGCAGAACAAATGTCTGGAACTGGCCACTTGAATCAACAATTTTCTTGTTGATGGAAAAAATTATTGCTGTGATAGGTTCTCTGTCACTATTTTTCTACAGTAGAGTTCCATACACTGTATTGCAATTTTATTCTTTTGTTGAAATTGTTATTTTTATTCATGTCCATAGAATGGTATTTTGATTTTGGATTTGTCATTCCTTCATCTACAAACACTTGGCAGTCGCTTATAGAGGCAGCTCCTGAATCACAAATGATGCCAGCAAACGTTTTAAAGTGAGTAATCTTGTGTATGTTGGGAATCTGAAAAGACCATTTTACAGCTCCTTGCAGTGAATGTGAGGTTGAGTTTGACAACGATGAGATTTACTTTCTCAATTTGAACTTAGCTACTTTCCCCTACAGTATTCAACATCCAGAAAATGTGGATACATTTTGGCAAATTGGGCAAGACTAAATAAACGCAATTAAGTTTGAAAGAGTGCAAATTCACTTTTCAATGGTGATATAATTTCCCTAATCATAACTATAACAAAATTCTCAAATCTGATTGGCTATCAACTGCCCTGGTTTCAGCCTTGATAGGACAGTTTAATTGGACAGTATGCGCCATGCCTAAGTAATTGGATAGTACGCGCCATCATGCGCACGCTTAATGGCTTTTTTGTTCACTGCTAGCAAAAATCTTGGAATGTCTTGTGTTTTGATTTTAAAAAGAGCTTTATATATCACAAATTTTGTTAAAGTTATGATTAATTGGTAACAGAACCTCGTGTCGTCCCATTCGGTCTGTAGTCATACTCGTGATTAAACAAATCGGACTCCCGCTACACGGTTGTCCGATTTTGTTAAATCACTTGTATGATTACAAACCGAATTGGACTCCACTCAGTCCTGTTACCATTACTTATACCCTGTTGGGCCCAGACTTTTGATCAAGCAAATAGGCTAGCAGTCTGTTCCTAAAAAGCTATAGTATCAAAAGCAATTATTTTATTTCTTTGTTTCAGTGGCAATGTGGTAATTGAAACAAAATTCTTTGATGGGGACCTCCTTGTCAGTACGTCAAGAGTGCGAGTTTACTATGTCTGACCATGGATACGTGACGCTTCCTACATAATAACTTAATCCATTGTCCCAGGTGTACAGTATTTTAAACAATGAAGATATTTAAATGAAGCCTAGACAGTTACCAGTAGTAATCTTTGATCTTTTTTTTTTTTTCACTCTAAACTCTAAACACTAACAGGTTTTTAAAATTTGTAGATAGTTAATATGCTTCAAATGATCATAACAACAACCATTATGTGGGATCAAGGTAGGCCTTGTTGCAGCTACAGTAGAAGTTTTAGTTAAAGAGATTGAAGACGAACATTGTAAGTATAAGCATTGTGCCCTAAAAACAGTTTAATCCAAAGTCCATTAATAAGCAAGTATCGTTAAACCTCCTGTGGGTGACAACCTATACTGCAAAACAGTCATTTCTTTTTTTTCTCAAAATCGGTTTAGTCTAGTGTAAGACCCTCAACATGCGTGAAGGACTGTTTTGTAGGCTTGTGACCACCCAATATGGGAAGACTTAGTGGTTGCTGACTGGAGATGATCGCTTACGTATGAAAAAAGTACCAACGGGAATGTCTTCCAAAAAGGTTTCTGGGCTTATCTACTTTACGGAAGATAATTTGTTGCATGCAAAAGATAATTCATTGTTGCATGCAATTTGTAAGTAACCTTACAGGGTTGTCGCTAAGATTTTGAGTAGCCGGGTAAATACAACAAGTAGGCGGGGTTTCTTTTGGTTCTAATTTTCTTCTATTTTCCAATAAAAGTAGCTGGGGGCCACACTCATAGTAGCCGGGGGAAATCCCCGGCCCCCAGCTCTTAATGACAGCCCTGACCTTATGTGCAGTTCCATGTTGTCACTAAAACATGTTGTATACTCAAAGTAGCATAGTACGTACAGCAAACATAGAGACCAGTGCCCGGTTCCTGAGAGGCCGGTTAGCGCTAATCCAGGATTAAAATTTTGTTGCTTTTTTGTATTTTAACCTTCCTATATGCATTGCATATTTAGTAACATTTTGTGTTATCATAGACATGACTGTATCGTGGAGTAAAGACTCAACACTCTTTTGTAAGCTTGAATTTCATTCTTAGACAATAAAAACCTTGCTTAAAATTTGGAGTAATCCTGGGTTAAACTTAACCATTTTTCGAGGAACTGGGCTCAGGTCTTGCATCAAGCAGTTGCTTAAAAAAGATTGAATTTTGTGGTCATGATTTTGTATATTACATGCAGGTTGATTGCTACATACCTTCCAATCATGTAAAAAATAATCATTCAAGTTGTAATTTTAACTGTTTTTGTCACTAACTGATCCAGGTCAGTTAATAACCCCCCTTCAAAACACTTCTTATATCCGTTGTCAAAGGTATTTAAATGTTAGAACAAGAGCTGAGATTAATCTGCTTTGACACATTTTTTTTTTTTTATATTCTCTGGCTTTAAACCTTCATCAAGGTTCATAAAATCCATTAAATTGATAGTCACTCTCATATATTATTTGATAGTTTTGTGTTTTATAACTAAGGCCTGGTTCACATGAGCTGAATTGAATTTGATTCGGCCAGCGGAGTTGATTCAGATGCCGTTCTTTACTCTAGCCAGATTAAATTCAAAGGGGAAAATGCTAGCCTGAGAAAACAGACGACATTACGGTTTCCTCGCGAAATGACGTCTGAGAAACGAGCGCAGAAATTCCATACTGATGACGCATCACTACCTAGATCTGGGTAGTGATTCTGATTGGTCGTGCCGCTTGTGAAATTTGCTTCAGCCAATCAGAAGCACTACCTAGATCTAGGTAGTGATACGTCATCAGTATGAAATTTCTGCGCTTTTTTTGCACACGACATTTCGCAGGGAAACCGTTAGTGCCGTCTCAGGCTAAGGAAATGCCTATTTCCTATTCTTTATTCCATCAAAGTAAAATCAAAACCATTTTACATGATCAACATTAATGGATTTGGCAAAGCCCTTGTGAAGCTCACCGTACGATGTGGAATGATCCAGCGTGATTTATTCACGTGCTGGAAGTTTGGATTTGCATGATCTCCAACTTCAACTGCTTCTAGTTCGTTATGGAGAATTAATACCATTATCTTTGGTAAATTAAATAATTTAATTAAAGCCCACCTTCTCGATTAAGCCATTCCTCTCTATTTAGTCCCCGCCCACCCTCGAACGTGCCTGAAATAAATAGCCACACACCCGAGGTAGAGGGGATTTACGGTAATTTTAAAAAATGGTCTTCAAAAAAATGTTGTGGGTACAAAGGACGAAGGAAATGAAAAATTTGTTAGGATGAGGAGTGTTGATTTTGGTCGCTAGAAGACAAACCCGAGAATTCTCAAAGGAACCAAGGGAAGATAGCTAGGGAACCAACAGCTAACTTGAACTCGGGGCACATTAGTGAGGGGCGATTGTCTCGCTGCCCGCTGCTCCCCTCAAATTCACCCTAAAAAGGGCTTTTAAAACGGTAACTGGTGTTTTCGTGTGAGAATAAAGGAAGAAAAGTAAAGACAAGCATTCATATCCTCTTTTATTGCAAAACAGCAAACAGTAGTGAGTGAAGTGAAGAGAAAGAACTCTTTGTCTCTTGAGAGAGCTCAACTTCTTTTACTACTGCTTTTTCACTGACTAGGTTTTTTTTCCTTTTGGCTTATTTAGGCTTCCTATCATCTTAAATAAAACATAAAAAACCGCAACTCTGACTAAATTCTACTCTATAAGCAATCCATTATTCCTACTCTCGCAAATCCATGTTTTTGTTAAAGATTCTTTGCGAAAAAACTCTTAAATTGACCTAAAACAGTCAATAACACTAAGTAGCTTATTTTATTATTATTATTATTGTCATAAAGTACCACTTTGTATCTGTGACACGTTTTGGCTTGGCGCCAGTTAGTGCCGAAAAAATGCAATAGCTTTCTTGTGTCACATCCTGGTGGTGACAAAAGCAGATTTACTATTTTAAATGCTAACACAGTAAAGGCAATAGCCGTTTTTATACTAGAGGGCGCATTATCCGTCCAGACGGACGATGCGTCTATATGGCCGTATTCACACTAGAGACGATTTATCCGCCTCAGACGGATATTCCACCTTCAAAATCCATCAAAATTGACGGAAAAACAGATCGATAAAGTCAGGTGGATTGTCCATTCAAATTTGAAACCGTTCTATTTTCAAATTAAGACGTATTAATCTGTCTGACACGAAGTATCTAATGGATAAACCGTCTCAGACGGATAATCCGTCTCTAGTGTGAATACGGCCAATGACAATCACGCTTCAGATATCACGTCCTTGAAAAATTTGGATCGTTAGTAGCTTGTCAGTAAAAAAATCAAAATTATTTGTTTAAAATCAAAGAGGATTCACCCTAGAAAAGCACTATCAGGCCATGTCTTAACTATACCGCATACCTTAACGACGTGTCGACACACAAAAAAACTATCCTATGACCAGCAACGGTCGAAACAGGAACGAGTTGTTTGGCCTCACTCTGAATACCTGCTCACACGGTACCAAAGTGTAGCACAAAACCTATCCGATATGTGACGCGCTCCACTTTGGAGATCGGCGTGTTGCAGTTTCTCTCCGTTACAGAAATCGCGCCTAAATCACGGTTCTCATGCGTGAACAGAAACCCCATCCGGTATGTTTTTCGTGCTGGCGCGGTATACTGTGAACATGAGCTAAGAAGCTAAAAACTACGAATTGTACCCTTACGACTCAATTCATTACAGGATTTACAAAGAAACTGGACATCATGTTCTCTTAAATGAGTGTCTCGTGAAAATTAACTACCGTACATCATAAATGGCTTCTGTAAGCTCAATTTAAAGAATAATTCACATCTTTCATATATTCTTTTCTTTTCTTTCAGCCACGATTCATCATCTCATTATTACTAATCATTCCCGGATTATTATTACTTTCTAATATATTTAGCGACATCACCGGCCCCTTGTTGCAGTCCAGACGTGAGAATAGGTGGACCTTGTCAGTCAAAACAACACTAAGATCTTCTGATTATTGGAATGGGTTCTAGTTACCACGATGACTTCACGCAGCCTGTGCGTTTTAGGTCGCGTGGTACCAACGAGTTCCTCAAAAAGCGTTGACCGAGAAGGCCTGGGAAGACGCCGTACAGAAATACGCAACTCTGACCCACAATGTTAACTTTGACATTTCACAATTTTCAACTAGTAATGAGCATTTTCTTTCCTTCTTTTTTTGAACCTGAGAGAGAACTGCAGCTTCAGGTTTTCACTGTCATGATAACGAAACAAATTTTACATATTCTTTTTACAGGAGAGTCTTACAAAAGCTGGAAATGTTTCAGGCGTAATAACACCACAATTCATACTTCGTGGAAACGACGACGAATTAAATTCGTCGGTTACCAGGACTCCTGTAGGGCAAGTTTTGATTGACAAGGAGAAATGATCTTCACCTCTTTAATAAACTGCACCACTAGCATTCTGTGACGAGAATCGTTAAGAAAAAGTGCTAGAAACCTTCACTGCTAGCATCCCCTCAGGAAAACCATTAATATATTGCAAACAGTGACTCGTCCCCAATCGTCTTCGCGTAACGCGCGCGAATAAGGGGGTGGGCGGGGGGGACAGGGAGTGATGTCACACCCCGAGGGCCACTAAGGAGAGGTCGTGAAATACTCTCGAACGTAGATCTCTTCGGCTTTGTCAACAAGATATCGGGGTACGAGATTAGTTGTGAAAGACGACTGGGAACGAGTCAGGCTAAAAATCCTTTAAAAGTCTCCTTTTTCACTGCTGCTTACATTCCTTCTCCTTCTCTTTCTTCTTCTTATCAGAGTTCCGTCTGCGTTGAGGTTGTATCAGAGCAACTGGCTTGGGTTTTGATTCTGGATTTCCCAGAGTCGACGGAGGGCTTGCTTCATTATTATTCTGTGTTTTCCTGTTAAATGTCGGATCTATCAATTCAGCAATGTTACAATCAGTTCCATTTCTTAAGCTACCGCTATTTTGCAACTCTGTGACTAAATGGTTTGAAGGCGAAGAGCTGGCCACCGTTGTACGTCTTTCCACAATCCTTTGATGCCTTGAGTGTCGTGGAATGTCATCACCTTCTTCATAAAGCCTTTCCCACACAGCTTCTCTCGTATCTGGAGAAGTTGGCGATTGGATAGGCCGTATGTTACATGCGGAATGCGATGAACTGGTTGATGATCTGTGAGAATTCTGCCTAATATATCCTTCTGTCCTTTCAAGCGAGCCATCCAGGGATGACAGCGGCGAGTGGTTAGGGGACTCTGACAGTCGGTAATCTTGTTGATGCCGCAGTGACTCTCTTTCAAGCGATGCACTCGTTGACGACTGAGAGCCATAGGAGCTTGCTTGTGATATTCGCTTCGTCGCCTTGTCTCGCCGCTCAAATGAACCATCCGGTTGAGTGTTCATGTCTCGTCTAGGGCTGGGTTGTTTCTGATGAAGAGAGTCGTCTTGCAGCAGATCAGGGATTGGTTCTCTCTGGACTGCCTCGTCATACGATGGTAGTCTCTGATGTGACTATAAAAAAAATCAATCAAACCGGGAATGGTGATTTAAAATGACAATAGCCTGTAAACAGACGTTGTTTTATTATTATTTCTTTTTTCGTTCTTTTCAAAAACATCGGCGTGCTCGCGAGCGAAGCGAGCGCGGCGGTCAATAAATCCCGTGCGATTTATATTTTATTACCCGCGCTCGACGGACTTTGAAGAGAAGATAGAGGGTGTGAACAGGCTAAAATCACAAAAGTAGAGATGGCACTGAATGGCAATTTGAGTTGACCAGTTATGAGTGCAAAGATCAGAGATCTCGTAAGATACATTGCTAACTGAGAATCCCCGGAAACAGGATGACAGGGTAGATTATTGACGAAAACAGTTGGAAGTTTTAATCAGAAAAAGAGGTTATGGAATTTCCCGCGCAAAAGGCGGAAAGCACGAAGGGAGCATCGCGGGAAACAAACTTGAGCGTGAGCGAGCGTGAACTCTTTTACCTCAAAACACAACGATGGATATACTGCCAGACATTGCTTCTCTCACGCTATGTATAACTACGACTAAAACTTTAAAGCTTTACGAAAACCATTACTTGCAAAATGTCATCACTTGTTCAATGCAGCACGTCTCACCTGAAGTTCTCCTGTGCTTCCGCCAGCAGTACTCTCAGCGGGAACTGTTTGAGCTCTTCTCAGCTGTCTCTCTCTCTTGAGCTTCTGTAATCGAACGTACTCTCTTCTTTGTAACTCTCTTGCGAATTCCTGTAATTATAACATTTAGCACTACGTTAAGTATAATTGTTGACTCAGCCAAACATTCCCTTAAAAACCGTTTAATTCCAAAGAGTGGCATGAAAGCGCTGCTAAAGAGATTTCACTTAGATGGTCACATTTAACATAATAAGAAACACAACAGGAATGTAATACTCATTAGCTTTTAATCGAAATAGTCACAACATTTATTACATCCACTGACTTTCCAGTTACAAATACCTCATATAAGAAAGTACTGTTTATTAGCTTTAATTTATCTGAATGGTCAAGCATTTTGGGGTTTCCTTCAAGTGTTATCTTCACTAAATCTAACTTAACCCATTTTGCCCCTGAACCGGCCGTTACCACCCGTGCGGATCCACGTTTCTTCTCCCGCTGGTGACGTCATCATTTTTAACGGTCAAGGACAACTTTGTCCGCTAACTTGTGCAAGATGAAGAGATCTTTCAAACCATACCAAAATGAGTACGATTCGGTCAAAAAACCATGCAACGCTGACCCGAAAATTCCAATGAAAATCTCATTCCACTACCCCGTACGTTTCCTTTCACCTAAAAGCTTTCCAAGAAACTTTTCCTAACGAAATGAAGCCAACAAAATGCCCAGCAAAAGGAAAAAAAGAAGGAAGAAAAGCGAAAAAAAAAAGGCAAAACTGTTGTGTTACTTTTAAACCCGAAATTTTCTTCAAATTTTGCTTTCTGCGAAGGCCCGAACTTCGCAAGCTAATATGCTGCATCTGGATCAGAAGGAAGCCATAGGCTGACCCTGACCGTGAGGAGTCTGAGAACAAAAAAAGGAGGAAAATTACTCCCCGTTCTCTCCCCATTCTCCCACTCGTTCTCTAAAACAGGACAGTGAAGCCAGCGGAGGAGCGGCTTACGCTGCCATGTGTGCGACCTGCAAACGATTTTGTGGTAAGTTTTAGCGCTTCATAGTTGGACAGAGGCTAGAAAACGGCTCCCCTAGCTTCAAAACGCGTTTTTTCCTACGAGCGAATGGGTTAAGGCGTTTTAGGACTAACAGAAGTTTGGATTTCTTTAAGCAATCTGTTTATTCTTACCCTGTCCTGATATTCTAACGCCACTCTCCTATCATTTGCGGCCTGCCGGTCTTGTTCTAACATCTAAAGAAAAAAGAAATTGAAGATTGAAGATCTCTGGAACAAATATGCAGAATTTATTATTTTCACTTTGCAATGTTCTTTCAACATTATTGCTGGTTTGCACGTGACGTCACGGCGGCCATGTTGGAGGGCAAGAACAAAAACATTATACTCTCCTCTGGGAACTAAATTCTATTTTCATCTAAATTCTTCGAGAAAAAATTCTACTGTATTGACCCTTCACATGGCCGCGTTGTCACGTAGTTGCAAACCAAGAATTATTATCTAGCATTGTAGATCAATGGTTCAAAGAGAAAACACTGCGATTAGGTGATGAAAACCGCCCAAAACATCTGGTCAACCCTTAACCCTATAAGTCCCAAAATCCACATACAAGTACTCCGGCCTCGTCTCCATACAGAGACGAGTAGGGAACTGGAGCTGAAAAGCGTCCCGCAATTGTTTGTGGGATCGTGACTGGGCAAGCGCCGGTCACCTATTGGCCAATTTCTTTTTAAACCCAGAAGTCTTTGCGAAAGTTAACTCAGCCCATTTTTTTCTTCTCGCTTTTTAAGTTTTAAAGAATTGGTTGGGAGAATTTGTTTTTAAAAAGATAAAAGCATTTTCACTTGGATGATCACTGTATTATTTCTCATAAATCATTTTCTCTTATGATGTAAAGGTACTATCAGAGGAGAAAACTGATGCTGATTACTCTAAAGACTTCAAAGTAACCACTAATACTAGCATGCAAACTCTGTACACTGTTCTCTACACATTTTCTATGGTATTGCTGATTATTTCCTTTTTTCTCATGACCCTTAAGCCTGATTGTGCAGTGTCACTTTAAAGAGAAATTGAATTTTGATCACTCTTAGCACACATTACCTTTTTTTCCTCTTCCTGCAACTTTCTTGCAAATTCCTAATAACAGAAATGACTATTTTAAAACACTTAATTTAATAGAAAATTGATAACAGTACAGTACATGCATAAATACAACAAGTAGGCTGGGAATCAAACAGCTAGGGATTTCTTTTGGCCAAAATTATTTTTCGTCTATTTTCCTATGAAAGTAGCTTGGGGCCTCGTTCATAGTAGCCGGGGGAAATCCCCGGTCTCCGCCTCTTAGTGACAGCCCTGTACATGGCATGAATGGGACTCAAATTCTCCTTGCCTGGGGCTGTTACATCCTCCTCTAAGTTTATGATTTACTGGGCTCGAAAAAAACTTGAATTCCAACTTTCACATTTTGCTTGCCCCAGGCCACTTCTTGTTTGTCTTAGTTAATGATTTCGTAAGAGGACGACATACCTAGACCCTGAGCTTTAAAAGTTACTTTCCCAGCAAGAAAATCCACCTGTCCCAGACTAACAAACGGGACTTTTTTCAAGACCTGATTTAATTTAGAGATAATTTTCCTTGGCCTTTGCACAATTGGGTCAAGCAAGCAAGAAAAATTACTAGCGTAACAGGAAAAATACTTGTCTCACATCACTAAACAAGCCCTGGAAACTAACTCAAAAATGGGGTAATCCTCGGTGTAAAAACCTGTGAGGTTTTTCTTTGCTTTCTAGCCATTATTTTCCTTGGCTTGATTGTGTTGACTTCTCACTGGCATCATTGTGTTCATTGTTTTATGTCACTTGTGAGTTTCACAGGTTTTTACACCAAGGATGAGCCCAAAAATGGGTGTCGCTGGTATGTAGATTTTTGACTGTTAACTGCTGGGAAAATTAATCATAAGCAAAATTTTTGGAGTTGTAGCAGCGTGAATTTTGAGGGAAAAACATCACTTACACTTTTCACAGTTGGTATGGCCACTTAATAATGATTAATTTAAGTAATTTATAGATTTTTACACGGTCAATAATTATTACAAACCTCATCCTGCTTTTCTCTTGACCTTTTGTGCGCCTTCTCGCGCACCTCCACATCATCATTTTCATCAAACAGATCAATTGCTGTTCCATCGGCCATTATTATCCTGTCAGATTCCAGTCTCCCTCCTTCAGCTGGTGGGGGAAGTTGTACCACAGCTGCTCCATCTCCCTGATAATAGCCATTCTCAGAGCCTCTACTGCTGTTGCTTCCTTTTCCCGTCAGTTTTGGATGAGTTCGGATGTCTTCTTTTACAGGAGGACTATTTCTTGCTGCTAACGGAGCAGAAGGTGGAGGTTATTACCAATACATTTTAAAATTTTTACATAACCCTTTCACTGCCAAATTTAGCCAAAAGAAAATTGTGACTAAATTTCCAAATTTCATTTTGTGAAATTTTGAAAAACAAATAGCACCATATGTAAGTAAAGGCAGAGAGCTTTCATTTGAATGGTCACATCATAGGATTTGGTCCACAGACTCAAAAGTTAGAGTCACCTTACAAAACTCCATCAAGTACTTCGGCAGTGAAAGAGATAAACTGTAAAGTCAAGATAACATTATCACAAACAAAAAAACTTTTGATAAGTATTACCAGGGTTGTCACTAAGATTTCAAGTTGCTGGGTAAATACAACAAGTAGACAGGGAATCAAACAGGTAAGGGTTTCTTTTGGTTCTATTTTTCTTCTATTTTCATTTGAAAGTAGCCAGGCGCCATGTCCATAGTAACCCGGGGGAATCCCTGGCCCTTGCCTCTTAATGACAGCCCTGTATTGCTATTGTTGCTACTCCAAAACATACACTACTTCTGTATGAATATTTCCACCACAAACTTGAAACTACATGTACAAATCATAGCTAGAAGAGTTGGGAGGGCTACTACTTTTACTTCTTTTTTTTTCTTCTCCCCAACCCCCTAGCCCAATTTTGTACAAAACTGAAGTGTTTGCCTTACCTGTTTGTGTTTCAGGAGGGTCATAATGATTCACATGGTTTTCGCCATTTGTTGTTAAATGTGAAATAGCATCATTGAGCATTGTATTCTCCTGCTCTTCCTGTCGTTGTCGTTCCAACCGCCTTTGCCTTGCGCGCTCCAGTTTTAAGGCTTCTTTTTCTTGCATCTGTCTTGCAATTGCCTAAATAACAACCAATACAATACAATAAACCATTGTGGTTATCATTAAATTTTAATCACCCACTTTTTGGAACTAGTTCTACACAGAATAAATATAAAGAGATCACAGAAACTTGTGCACCTTGTTCCACGTGTTCAGATATTGTAGGCAGCACAAAAAAGAGCACAGAGTGGCGAAGGTGGGGGGGGGGGGGGGAAGTTAAAGTGTTAGGGGGGAAAGAGAATCCCCGGGGTATTAAAAACATACAAGAAATGGAGCTCTTGACAAAAAAACACACAAATTGCTGGCGCACGTGCATCTACTATTGGAATTAAATTTTTAGTTCCTTCTTTTTTTAAGTTTTTTTTTTTTTTATTTTGTTTTTAAATATAAAAAAAAAAAACAAAAAAAAAAAAATAACCCTTTTTGTTTTAATTTAAATTTTAAACCCCCTCTTTTTGAAATAGTTTTTAAAAAAAAAAAATAAAAAAAGATAAAAAAAACTTTTGCCCCTTTTTTCCGGTTTTTAGAAATTGTGGGAACAAAAAAAAAAGGAACAGGGGGGGGGGGGGGGGGGGGGGGGGGAGAGTTTAAAGTTTTGGAGGGTAAGAGAATGCCCGAAGTATTTCAAACCTTTAAAGAATGGAGTACTCTACAAAAGAATAACTTAAGGTCTAGGGCACGTACATGTACATGTTGTAGTTATTTTTTTATCTCAGTTAATTTTTATTTTTCCATTGTTTTGGAGTATGGTAATGTATGGTAATGAATTTGAAACAAAGGAAAAACAAAAATTAACTAAAATAGAAAAATTAACTGCAATATACACAGGTATGTTGTTGAAAACTCACAGTTCAGCTCCATGCCCTCTCCTGAAACACTTATGGTTTTAAATGTGAGAGTTCTCCCCCACAAAAATTTACAATGAATTTGTACTAATCCAAGTATGGATATTTCTTAAATCCTATAATCTTGGACAGAATAAAAATAATGGCATAGCAAACCCCCCATACTCTTGAAATCAAGAATGAAGGGGGCAAAAGCCTAAATGCATCATTTTTCCATCCTCGATTTTGGAGGTGGAGGGGGATCTAAATTTTCACCCCACTTTGTCCAAGATTACAGTACATGTACAATGTATTTCTACTCAGGAAGTCACCTAATATTTGAAGGGGTGCCTGAAAAAGGCCTTAAGTAACTTGATCATACAACAAATTCTCCCTTGTTTCAAAAACCAAACATGAGGTAATTTGAAAGGGAAATCTAGTACTTCAATCACAAGTGTCTTGGGATTTTTGCCACGCACTCCTTCCTTTTCCACAAGTTACGAACAGTGCCACAATAGCTAAAAAGAACCATAGGTTCACAGACAAACTAATATGCAGAGCTAATGACCTTATGTTTAAGTACAGCTTTATATATATCTAACAGCAATACTAAATGCTTACTAGCAATACTGTTAATAGACAGCTGCCTACTTTTCAAATTTTACCATTTCAGAGTTTGTTTCGACTACATGGATAAGCGGCTGACGATACCCTTGCAATAAAGGAACAATGCTGAGTTTTATTATTTAATAATTGTAGCTATGGGCTGGCTTATATTATATGCATGTTTACATCCACAGCAGACAACAGAGTCAAATAAATGATATGTTCTACTTGGCATACCTCATCTCTAGTTTCAGCGTCCCTTCTTCTTCTCTCACACTCTATTTCCTGTAGAGACAAGTAAACTGTTAAATTTTCATGGAATTGAGATGTCTAGCTTATAAACTACACCTGCCCTAGAACTGTGATCTTTAAAGTTTGCATTATGGATTGAAACAACAAAAACCAAACAATCACAAAGATATTTAATATTTTTCTGAATCCATTTTGCACCTTACATACAGTTGTACATTCATTTTAGCGTGTGCACTTCAATTTATGCTGAAATAATCTCACACCTCCTTGAATGTCGCCTAATTATGTTTGCATCCACTGTTTTAGTCACGGAGATCATTGCTCATCCTTTCACGCTTACCGGTGAACAACACCCTTGATTACTCTACATTCAGAATATACTTGCTCAGACACATACCTGAATGTCCGAGTTTTAAGAAATTAAATAACCTAATTAAATAGAATGTTCCATAGTCCTTACCTCATTTTGCAGTTTATGTTGAAGATCTATGGCTAGCCAGTGTTCTGTTCTTTCCCTGAGATAAAGATACAGTGTACATAATTTAACATACACAGTCATGCAAACTTAAATTATAATTTTAAAGTCACTGCTTTTGCAAGACACAAACAAAACACCTCTGAAATATGCCCAGTTCTAAGTAAGATGGAGGAAAAATCATAATATTATTCTGTTTCTCACCAGTTTGGGTTTGGCCTGCAGAAACAAACGAGAGACTTCACTTTCATTTTGAGCAATGATACACGTCTGGTCAAGCAATGAAGCTTAACATGTGCGTGATATTTCAGTTTTCTTATAATATTGCCGGAATTCAGTGATATTGCATAATTAAGTCAAACATGTTTTACATAGTTAATAATTCTTGTCTTTTAATAGCAAACTGTCTGCAAATCAATCTGCTCACAAGTTGTATAAATTTTGATCCCTTCTTAATAATATCCACTACCTGAATATGATTATTTCTTCTTTAACTGAATAAGATTTAATGTATGTAAAATCAGTCAGAAAAGTAGTTAAAAAATCTTATGTTTAATTCAGAAACACTGACATTTTATGGCCCTGTAACACAATGGTGATGTCAAGTATGAGGGCATGCTGAAAATAGAGAGTTTCTGTAAGATTAAAACAGATCCAAGCTATAAAAAAATAACAACTTTTTTCACTCTCCTCAAGGAAAAATTTTTCAAATTAAGCCACTGTGACTTGCTGTAACATGTTAATAATTTAGTGCACGTTTTCATGCAAGATCATATATATATAATTGACATTTGTGTATACAAGGAAGTCTAATATCACTAATTGCTGACACCTAAATATCAAATACTATTTAATATCTGCTGAAGAGAGCTTGAAACCAAGATAACCTTTCTTTCTCAGACCTCAATACTTGCAGGAAATCACAAGAAATGATTGTCGATTGGTTATATTCAGAAGTGAAATATCCCTTACTCACAGTAATTACTATTCTCTTTTGCCACGTTTTCATCAGCTAAGTCGAGAAATTCATTTTACTCTGTGCTCTAAACTGAAGTTTAAATTTCTTCCAATAAACAGTATTTTATTGCAAAGACTGATTGTTGACCTGTGATAAAGTTACTTTTGCCTGACTATCACACGTAAATTTTTAAGGTAAAAGGCTCACAGCAAGAGAACACCAGAAATATTTCTGGAATGTCACTGCACAGTCGGTGAGGAAAAAGCCAATCAGATGTGAGATAACTAATCCATGACTAGCACCTTAACTCATAATGGTTTTAATTCAAACAAGTTAAACTTTGAAATTGCACAATAAATTAAAGTGTAAAACGGAACCTCTGTTTAAGCATATTGCCAAATTTCCTCAGTCTATGAAGTCACAGTGACCTCAAAAAATTGTTCCCGATTCCTGATAGCAGATATTGTTCCTTGCCTCAATTGACAGACGGCAGTAGTTATAGTCATTGTATTCACCGGAAATAGATTATTACACTGCAGTACTTTATGGTTTTATGGTTTTGTGCTTTTGCTCATGAGTCTAGATCTCCACTGTTATACTGTCAATAAAACAATAGTTAAACCCCCATTCTACAGTTTTCTTACTTTATGCTTGAAACTGTCAGGTGCCAATCAAGCAATGCAACCAAGGGAAGCATTGATGACTTCCTTTGTTATACATTAGAACTGAAGAAAACACAGTCAAACTCGATGTAAGGACACACACTTAATATGGAGACGAAATTTTTATGAACAGTTTGCTTTTTCCCTAGGGAAAGAAAGCCCTTACATTTCCTCTAAATTTGACCCTCGGACACCCCGTTATACAGACACTTTCTATGGCCCCTCAGTGTCCGTATTAACAGGATTTGACTGTAGAGTTATTTGTGTCTTGCCTGATTAGTTTCCATTTTTTAATATACATGTAATAATTTTTGAAAAAACAGTCACTCTTACATAATAACACAATTTGACTGCATACAATTGGTTGTAAAAAAATGACAAACCATAAAAATGCCTCAAATCAGTCGGTTTGTTTTGAAGGCAAGAGAATTTGCATGAAACTGTTTGAATCCATTATTAACGCCTCTGTTCAATGCACAGCTAGTCTAAAAAATACACCAATGATACATATTAGTTCAACTCACATATTGTGTACCATATCTTCGGGAAGGATTTGAGAATGTTTTACTTCTTCTAAATATGTAATCTTTGCAGCTTTAACATCCTCACGAACAGTTTTTCTTTCACTCCGGTTTCTGATGTAGTGATTGCCAACTACAAATTAAAACAACCACATTGACAAACATTAAGAAAAGTTACCTAAAACTCCACTGTGTTTCCCCAATTAGAGCCAAGAGGCCCTAGAATGCTCAGACACTTTAATAAGGGCTAGGTACATATGTATGTACAGCGACTGGTTCATAGCTATCACTACGAACAGTTTTGCCAGGCAAAGCTGACGTGGGAGGGGATATTTTGTAACCAGAGCATGTTGAGAGTAAGGTACAATACAATAATACCAAGCTACAATGTAAAAGCTGATTTATAATGACAAATAGCAGATGAAAATAGCTAAGAGCTCTAAATTTCAACACTATACTTGTTTTCTAGTCAAAATCACAATCATACCCGGCCCACTGACATTGTTAAAGTTAATAAGAAAGATTAATTACATTCTTCTTCTTGCAGGCGATGAGCAAGGGACGCATCTTCACGCACCATGAAATCCTGACAAACTGAAAAACAAAAATAACTCTGTCAGGACAATAAAGCGGGCATAGCCTATGTGTATGTTACAATCTTCTGGCATTGAAAATCACAGTGATCAGTTTCAAATGAAATTTAAGGTTTACATTCAAGTTTATATTTATGTACCCAGTTTGTTTTCTAATTTTGTCATTTCTAATTTAGGGTTATTACGCATAGGATAATAGAATCACATCAAGTTAAAATCATTTTAATAATTAGAAATTTCATGATTTTAAGCTACAGCTGATGTACATCCATAATTGGGTGTAAGTTTTTCACAATTTGACAGCCAACATGCAAATAGACACAATCCCACATAGCTTTAAGGTATGGCTGCATTGGTCACCATATATAGCAAGGAGAAAAAAATTTGGGGACTAAAATGGCAGCAAATTTGGTTACCTGTGTGTGACTGTCACGTGCCAAGTCGAACTATTTTTATTTTGAGTCATGTTTAAGGTCTTTATAAAATTAAAGAGACATGCAGGTAATTCAACTTTCACTGGCCCTGATGCCCAATTTAGTTTGCAGACAATAAAATAAATAGATTAACAGGTTAATCCCATAGCTCTCCCTGTAAGGGTGCCAAGAAAATCAGCTTTACAGCTTGTAGCTGTTACTTTATGTAGCCTGCCAATAATAATATTTTTGAAAAATTATTTTGATGAGCAGGATATTGATAATCAATTTATTATTATTATTATTTATAATTAATAACACTAGTGGTGAATAAATTACTTGTAGTTTTATTTATTCATTGTAATAATACATGTAATTGCAATGATTTCATGTTGCCAGATCAGCTTGAAAAAGCTTTTGATCCAAATGAATTTGTTAGGAATTGAAACCAGCAATTTGTTTTGCAGTACTTCTGTAATTCGAATTCCTCCAAAAAAACTTCACTTGTCCATCCGGCAGGTCAAGAAAAGAATATATTTTGACTAGCCCTATCGCAAAATCCACTAGTTACAGGCTATCGGACACTACTTTAATTTGTTTGTACGTACACAGCTCAGCTTTGTACACCGTGGGTTTCATTAAAAGCTGGAACCTGGGTACTACCATTAGCGTACTCTAAGCACGGAACATGTCCTCAAGCCCCCACAAAAAGTCAATAGTCTAGTTTCAAATTCACTATGACCGCTGAATAAAAGAAGTAAAGATGCATTTTTTACTGGCTTGGCCTCCATCTGAAATAATATAATTATATTCACAAATTCCAACAAGAAGAAGACCTGTTTATCACTCTTTCTATTGGGTATTTTCAAATTTCAAACACTTACTTGCTGAAATTTGTGAATATTTTACTTTATGTTGCGGCTATAAACCCTGTGTGAATGTATCGTTAATATCTATATTCATCAGCAATATTTAATTCGAAAAAGGACCATTCTCAAACCAAATTTCTATCTTTCTCTGCCTTCTCAACCTTGGGCACCCTTCTACTTTACAAATAGTGAAAACCTGGTTGCACTACAGCTATACAATTACCCACTATCACAAATATTTTGTACATAATATAGCCCAACAGTGTTAAAACAAGATAAGACAGTAAAACAAATCACATTACTTTTTTTAAAAAAAACTTCTATTATGACAGCTTTATTCTTTTTCAAGATCCAGATTTAGGGGAAACTGCAAACTTCCACAACATGAAACTAAAGGAGAAAATTATCTTCCAAAAAAATTACTAAACAATTTTAGTCGTATCCATCGAAATCAGCTGTAAAATTGTAGCAAACAAATTAGCAGAATTAAGTACTAAATTGATCAGGAGTGAAATTTCATATCATGTTTTGAAAACAGCTTTTAAAATGTTTTTAAAACAGGGCTCGTCACTGTACAAATTATCTTTTGTAGCTGGACCTCATAGGGAGCATACATGTTGGAAAAAAGAATATTCTCAATTCTAATTTTCTCACGTTTTTCAATTGACCTTGGCAGATATAAATAATCAGCAAACAAAAGATCTCGTCCCGGCTTACCTCACACAAAAGAACGTGTGAAAATATTCAGTTTACTTTTAATGTCAAAAGCTCCAAAATTTTATTCTAGGGCAGAACATGTTTTCTGTTTTTTTCTTTTCGATAGTTAATGAAACTAGATTGTTTACAAAGTTGAACTGTTTGATTTGGAATTTTTGTCTAGTAACTTTAATTTTAAGTCTGCTAATGCAAGCAACAGCCCGCCTAGTACAGAGTAATTTCAGGTTGGAAAAAATGTCTTTCTTTTAAAAAAAATATCTCACCTATAATAATTTTACGAACTATGTCTAACAATGAGCAGACAATGAGATTTACAAGATCACGACCTGGATCAGGACAAAATTCGTCAAAGAAGTATTTTACTTGAAAGTAAAGATATTCGTTTATGTGACAGAACAGCTCAAATATCGATTTACGGATTCCATTTTGCCGCAAAAGTATGATACCACGCTTAACCGACAAACAGACTCCAGCTAGGTAGGCCTTTTAAACAAATGGGTAAGTAAAGTAAATGATGCTCACTTGTAAGATGTTTTCACAAGAAGATTACAGACAGCATGTGGGCAAATTGTACCATTCCAGTTGTCTCAAATTCACAGCGCTACAGAATAAATTCCTAACTTAATATCTACTTTGCTTAGCAACAACTCCGAGTTCTGCAATGATCTTTAACGCAATTTGTTTAACAAAAGAGATTAAAGCGACGCGATGAAATTTTATTTGAAAGATGTGATCAGTCAAAGATGGCGGCCGCTAGCTGACATTTGAGAACACAATGGGATCTCGTCTCTTCTTCCATAAAAAATAACTGTTTCAAAAATGCGATACATACGCCTGAAGCTTCTAAGAGCCACTCAGGTAAAGTTTATATCGGTTTTGTGGCCCAAGATTTTAATATGAACAGCAGTAAACTCAACGCATGTAACTGTCTAAACTTGGATGCCCTCTACACTTCGATTTATATGGTAAATTTGCCGACGATTCAAATGATTCGATGTCCAAGGTGTATAATATTATGACATTTCCAGTGGAAAAACTTGAACAGTAGATACGACAGGAATTTTTTTATTTAATGTGTTCTTTCCTCCACTCTGTACAAAACAAAAGAAAAATCTACTGGAATAAATGGCCCTTTGACAAGCTAAAATCAAGCTACCCTTGGTCATGTGAAGTAAACAACGTTTTCAAGAGTATTTCTGCCCATATTCACAGCAAGATCTTACCTTGACGCACAGAAGGAACTTTCGATTCGTCTATATCAGCCATACTTTTTAAGACAGGTATAAACTGGCATAAAATTGGATCAAATCTAGGCCATTGCGATCAATATCAATCGGTTTACTCAGAAGCCGTTTCCTGTTGTTATCCGGGACTTCGGTAGTTCAGGAAATAAAGATTTTTGATTGGATGAGAAAACAATTGCCATTCACATCGAAGACAATCGAAGACATGTCTCCGAAGTGGCGGAAATGCAAACACTGCTTGCGAAGCGCAAAGAAAATAAATAATCGCTCCATTGCACCATTTAATTGCTACAATAAACGTGCCAAAAAATATATTTCACAAGCACCCAAGTCAATCAATAATCAATAACGTTTAAGACTCCAAATTTGAGATGAGTTAAAAATAATTCCGTGTGCAAAACCGTTAATCCCCTTAGGCGATAATACAATGGGAAATAAAATTTTCGACTTGATTTCTCGACGTGGTTCTGAAATTTTTAATAGGGATGATTATGGAATCGAAGCTGTTCCCAGATTAACGAAAGATGTTAAGAAATTTTGAGAGTGTGAAGATATTATTCCGGTTTTAGAAGACAAATCGACAGCGACCGGAAATAGGTATCTTTCACGTTGTTTGTTTACCGCACGGTACAGAAATACGGGAAATTATTATAATTTTATCGATTGTATCGATATGTACTCGAAAAGGAAAACTGCCTATGACCTCCGTGGTTGCTAAATTCATAACTTTAACTGAGAATAGAATTTCTTTTAGCTTAAAATGGCGATAACTGTATTGCTCAATGAATCGTCATTCATGTGTGTCTTGCAAGGATGGGGGGAGGATGACATAATCACGCTCTTCTAATACCTCTCATGGACACACCCAACACGAACAAATAGCCTCTCAGTAAAGAAGGCAAAAAAACTTCTCGGGGTGTTAATACGTAACAAAGACGTAGGCTTTGAAAAGGAAACTGAAGATTGAGTAGTTCAAATATTTCACATATCTGCTGTTCAAGAATCATACGATGTCTCGTTCGCAAGGGCACGCGGGCGCCAAATTTGTGGCCGTGGGGTCGTGGCCGGGACTAAAGGCGTTAGGGACATGTTTGGAGTTAAGGTAGGGCCAGTATCAGAGACAAAGGTTGATTACAATGACCAGAAGAAAAGCTCTACTTATTTTCACTATAACACTATCACCACCTTTTAACCACTATCGCGACAATAAGGCTGGGCGTGTTAAGGAAAACAGTCGTTGTGAACTAAAATGGACACTCTCCAATCCGACAGTTTTCTCATGGACGTTATAATACCCTTAATCGGCTTTTGCACTAACAAGTTCCGACAATTATACTGCACGCTCAGCAGTTGTAAAAACTCATCGTGACGAAAAGGAGGATTAGGAATAGGAACTGTCTGAGAGCGAGAGTTTCAGGAAAGAAATTCCCTCATATCCTGGTCTTGACATCTGGCAGTTTCGTGTCCTGAAAGGAGAGTTAGTCAATCAAACCCACTGGAATGGGAAATCGGGAATGACTTCTACCTCTCTCCTCCGCATAGAGGCTACCGCTGGGAAGGTGCGCGGGGGACGATGGGAAGAGGGAAAAGGCAGGAAAAAGCCTCTCTTCTCTCTTCCCTTTCCATCGAGCCCCGCACGCTTTCTTTTTCTTTCTCTTCAGTCTCCCCACGGCACAAAGAGGTCTCTGAAGAAGAGTAAACCTGCGACTCATTGTTTGTTAATCATTTCCCTCCTAACATGGACAATGCAAAAAAACAAACAAACAAAAGTTCCAACGTTGTTTTGGTAAAATCCTAAGAAACAACTTGAGCACCATGCCATTTGAAAGGTAACACCATAGGATTCGCTGGGAAGGGGTTAATCGACCGTTATCTTCCGCGTATCTCGAATTTTTTCCACTACACGTTTCATTCCAAAAATATAGTTCAATCTTCACGATTCTGCTTCTACGCGAAGAGATGCACGTCCAGTAGAAAGCTTAAAATCTAGCCAAAACGCTTAACGACTGACTTAAAGGCTAACATTGAGACATTACTCGTACAAAAAGTACTTTAAATAATAATAGTCCATGTATTTCCTTGTCGGTGCGTTATTGTAAGACTTGAAGCTAAACGACATCGATCATCAAAGATTTTTAACAGTCAGACTTCCCCTTGTGGACACCGCGCCATAGGCGAATCTTTATTTACACTTTTTGCCTCATTAAAATATGCTTATCACTATTTGATGACGCTAATAAAATAAAAACTCTGAATATTGAAAGGGCATAACAGTTTCAGTTATCTCTGAAAATTTGAGCCCAATACAACGAATGGTTTCGGAGAAATTGTCTTCTAAAACCTCGAAATTTTACAGAGAATGTATGGCTCATTAACTTTTTTGCCACCCAACAATTTCGCAGTTTTTGATGGCTGATATTTCCTGCAATAATGCTGATAAAAAGCTGAAAATTGCACAAATTGCTTAACTTAATCATAACCAGCCCTTTCAACTTTAGCATTTAGTTCATATATGCAGCCACCGCTTCTATGTATGCTAATGAGGAAAAATGTAAACAATGACGTCAGGAAAGATTCGCCTATAACGGAAACCCCGGTAATAAGGACAGACAAAATGAACAGACGTTACAGATGTTTGACTGACATACTACCGCTATTACGAACTCTCGCTAATGAGGACACTAACTCCCGGGGGGGGGGGGTACTTCAGGAATTTCTGGGTGGGGATGTGCCGCTGGGCCCCTGGAACCCTTACCCTATACCAGAGCTAGTTCAGCTAAATTTTGCTACCCTATACTAGAGTAAACTCCCCAATCCTCCATATCCTAGAGTTAGTTTCCCTAGTCTAGATAAAATCTTTAACCAACTGATCACTTTCCTGAAAAATGATACCCTATTCTAGACCCAAATGTTCTGATTTATATACCCTATCCTAGAGTAAACTGCTTGAAAACCATACCCTTCACAGCGGCACATACCTATATGGCCCATATATGGCACTACCCCCCCCCCCCCCCCCCCC